CAATCTCCGGTAGCCCAGCGAGCCTGCTGCGCCAGTTGCCCGTGGGTCCGTTGCTCCTGCCGCTCGGAGTTAGCCGCAAAGCCAGTTACTCCTGTAGTCTGGGGCCCTTGCTCCGGTAGCCACCGTGCGCGCCGCTCCTGTTGCCCGTGTGTCTGCAGCTTCACCCGTCACCTCCTATCTCCTCTCCCCTCACAGTCCCGCCTCCTCCTCCTCACTTGCCCTTTGTGAATGCCTCTAGCTTTGCTTGTACTTGTGAACCTGCTCTATGACTGCTTGCTGTGCTGATTATACCCCACTTTGACTATGGGGGTGTGTCAGAATGTGTTTGCTGTCTAGTCTGCAGTGGGGTACTCTGTAGTGAGTACAACCCAATTAGGGTTTCCTATTTGTGTCCCAACTGTTGCTAGTGCAACCCTGTTCTCTGTTTCATTCTTCATTCCTATATTTTGACACCTACACAACATAAACATAATAATTGTTTGACACTGCGCACCCACTAAGTTTAAAAATACCTTGGTGAATGTTCAAGGATTTCGTATGGTTTCAGTGCGGTGAAAGGTCGACCTGTCCACAACCCCCACACTTTCGCAGCACAATCTTAGAGCATGGAACATCCTTATGAACAAGCGTTTGGGCCATTTTCAGGTGCAATCTACCATTGCTAGGAAATCTACTCATGTGCGATCCATGTTACTGTGCAGATACGAACACCAGATTCATTGTAAGGAATTTCTGTCGATAATAATTTTCATCCGAGATCCGATTCGAAATAACACAAAAAGTCTGAATCAAAAGCGATTTCGGATCACGCCAAACAAAATTCGAATGGTCACGTCATATTTGCCAAATTTCGACGATAACTTCTGCTTCGCACTAGGAGTTTTATGAAAGAAATCTTACGTTGGATCAGCTGTATAGTTGTCGCAGGTGACGGAAGCTGCGCAGGGTAAATCGCCATTCCGTTCTTGGGCGTGCACCCCGAAACACGAGAAGACTGACCGGGTAATGATAAAGTTTACCCCTACCGTAATAAATACCATGCTGGATTTTGTTTCCGCACTAGACGACGCCACCAGAAATATATATATATATATATATATATATATATATATATATATTACCAGAAACAATTCTTATTTTCTGGTGGCGTCGTCTAGTGCGAAATCAAAATCCAGCATGGTATTTATTATGAGAGGGCAAACTCTGTTATCACCCGGGCAATTTTCTCGTGTTTCGGGATGCACGCCCAAGAAGGGAATGCTGATTTGCCCTCCGCAGCTTCCGTCACCTGCGTCAACAGTACAGTTGATCCCGCATAAGAATTATTTTATAAAACTTCTAGTGCGAAGCAGAAATTGTATTCGAAATTGGGCAAATATGACGTGACCATTCGAATTTTGCTTGGCGTGATCCGAAATAGCTTGTGGTTTAGACTGTTTGTGCTATTTCGAATCGGATATCGGATGAAAATGATGATTGGACAGAAATTCCTTACAATGAATCTGGTGTTCGTATCTGCACAGTAACATGGATCGCACATGAGTAGATTTCCTAGCAAGAGTAGATTACAGTCGGTGCTCATTTCAAGAACACCAGGTAGGCGGGCGACAATGGACTGAAACGGGCAACGGGCATTTCGTCGATCTTCGCCACGTCGCCACGGGCAAAAATGGGACTGTAAAGTGAAAGTGGGACCTTCGTCAAGCCGCTGTAACTCGGTCAACCCTTTTAAGATGACGTATGCGATGACGTATGCGATGGGCAACCCCTGTTGTTTCTGAACTGTAGACGTCGACCTTCTGCAACTTGGTGACTCTACCCCAATGCTCAATTCAGTCACTCACGGGCAAAAACGTTCGCGAGTGACTGTTTTTCTGATTGGGATGACCTTTGGACACGGGATAAGGTGAGCATCGACTGTACACCTGAAAATGGCCCCAAGCGTTTGGTCATCGTGGGTGCATCTATCAGGGTCCATTCCTGGCTCGTGTCAGACTTCCGTTCAAACTTCGTGTTTTCCGAGACCAGGGGCAAATTTTGCCGGAAGACCCGAAGTGGGTCTCGGATGACCCAAAGTGGGGCCAACTGTGGGGCAGCTTCGTGTCATCCCCTGAAGACCGGAAGTTTGACACGAGCCAGGAATGCACCCTCAGACTTCGTCACTCCCCTACGAGGCTCAATGACGAGAATCGCAAGTAGGGTTACTGTCGCATTGGGGCGACCAGTTCCTTGTTCAAAAGGATGTTCCACGCTCTTATCCCCTCCGCTCTACTGTGTTTCCTCCCTACCTCTTCTTACCCCATTCCCTCTTGCCTTCCCAGCTTCACCACGGGTTCGCAGCCATCCTTATCATCTTAGAGCCCTAGCCCACTAAGTAACCTCGCAAACCATGGCGGCTCTCGCTGGTCTGAGCAACAGCATGGTGGCCATGCAGACTACATCTTCAGCCAAAAGCGGCCTCTTCGGCACTTCGCTAGCAGCCAAGCCCGTACGTGCCGCCCTCTCGCTCACCCCGTTCCGGTCCTGCGTTCTTCTGGCGGCTCGCTCCCCCTTGCCGACGCTGCGTAGCTTCGTATCGCTTACCTAGAATCGAGAGCCTAGGGCGCGTTTATTTGCTCTTCTCCTATGTGTCTCCATTTCGGAGGCAGGGTTTTAGGTCACGCATTGATCCTCGAAGCGCGAAAATTGCAGTTATGCGACCTTGTAGATCGCTTTCTTTATTCGCCGATCTATTGGAGCTCCATTTCTGCCTTAATGTTTCGTCGTCGCGTCTCACAAGCTAAACCACTCACTTTACCATGCGTCGGACCCTCCCCCTCTTTCGTCCTGGCATATCCCCTCCGTGCATCTCGTCCGCGTTCTCGTGGTCTTGGCAGATGACTGCCCAGCCTCATGCGGCGCCATCAGTCATTCGCATGGCTGTAAGTTCATCTCCGCCTTTGTACCACTCTCCTCCATATCTCACCCCCGTGTACTCCCCGGCCCAAACGGCACACCCCCGGGCGTTTCTAGCTTCGTCCTGCTGTCGACTGCCTTCCCTGTCCCTCCTTTCACTCCTTTCCCATCCCGACGACGTTACGAACTCCGCTTCGTCACTGGTCCCTCCCTTCGCGCGCAATTGCCCTTGTTTGCGTTCGCATGCTATCCTCCGTTCACCTTCCTGTCTTCTCCCTCTCACCTCCCCCGCTCATTCCGCTGTCTCCGCCGCGCCGACTGCGCGCAGATCAAGCGGTGGGAGCGCAAGGAGGTGAAGGACAACAGCCTGCCCGTGCGCCACAAGCTGCACGTGCAAGTGGGCGACACCGTGCAGGTGCGACCGTACACCGTGCTGCTTGCTCCTTCAGCAGCATGTCCCATGTCGAATGGATAGCCTGGCATGCATGTGTGTGTGGGAGGAAGGAGAAGGGTGGGTGGGAGGGTAGGGTGGTCAGTGGTACGCATGTCTGTGTGTGTGTGTGGTTTGTCATCCATAATCCACGCCCGCGCAGCCACCATCATTTTCGTTAACCATCCCTTGTAACCTTTCTAAGCTTATGCTTCCAGACCCCGCTATGGTCCTCCTATTCCGCACAACCCCTCCCCCCGTCCCCCCCACTCTCACCCCCCCTTCCCCCAAACACCCTTTTTTTTCTCACCTTCCGCGCTTCCTCAAACCTGGCATTTTTCTGTACAGTCCATCGGCCTCGCCACCGCATTTACCCAACGCAACTACCTCCCTCCCCTTCCCCACTCCTCCCCATCCTCACCCCGACGTGGCGGGTGGCAGGTGATAGCGGGCAGGGACAAGGGCAAGGTGACAGAAGTGGTGCGTGTGATCAACCACAACTCGAACGTGCTGTGCCGGGACATCAACATCAAGACCAAGCACGTCAAGGGCAAGGCGGAGGGCGAGGCCGGCCAAATCATCCAGGTGCGTGCTGCATGCAGTAGCAGCAAGCCAGTGTTGGGACATTGGTGGGTGCGGCACAGAGGCGGTGCGCATCACCATATGTGTTGAGATCTCTATATTTCTGTTACAGAGGTTCAGAGCTAGCATCAGTGGCCTTAGTGCCGCTCGCCCCGTGAGTTGTGACCTTCCTCTGGTCCTGTTCTGTTGCTTAACTCCCAGTGCCCGCTCCCATGCTCGCCTGAATGCATGCTCGCCTGAATGCATGCTCGCCTGAATTCATGCTTGCCCGAATGCACGGTGTGGTGCAGATGGAGGCGCCGATCCACAGCTCCAACGTGATGCTGTACTCGAAGCAGCAGAAGGTGACGAGCCGAGTGGGCCACAAGGTGCTGGAGGACGGCAGCAAGGTGCGGTACCTGCTCAAGACAGGCGAGGTCCTTGACCAACCCAGCGAGTGGAAGCGCACAGCCAAGAAGGAAAAGAAGGACAAGCCTAAGGGTGACTCGTCGTAAAGCGGGGAATGCAGGGGGTCATGATGAGCCAAGTTAAGATACGGTAACAACAGATTCAATGTAGTGCAATTCAACCACGGAATACGGTATATCTTTTCCCAGTGTGCTACCGTATGTTGAATGCTGCTGTGCTCGTTTTCACCTGTCAGTAGTGCTTCGAAAGATAGAAGTTGCTACGGTATCGAATGTGTTCAGAATTCGTAAGGCGAAAATCGGAGAGACTAATTTCATGCTTTTCACTTTTCCAATGAGCAGTAAGTACCGTAACTGTGTTCCAGTGTGCTAGAGCAAAGGTGTTGGATTCATTTACAGCTTGGGCAGGTTTTTGTTCCTCAACCCTGACCACAAAAATCACCTTTAATACGGTAAGCTGTAATGGATGTAGTGTACATCACACCTCCATCAAACAAGTTGAGTAGAAAGTTCTCACATTACCATAGGCAAATGTAGCTTAAAACCTGGGACCAGAAGATCACAACATGAACTGAGTGAAGCAATGAGCATACCCAACTATTTTACATGCAGACGAATGGGTGTCACAGCTCTAACATTAAAGGCAAGTGCAGAGGTTGCAATGATAGCGTGAACAGCTGCCAAAGTTAGGTGGAGCTGCTGGGAGGAGGTGCCGAGAAGGGAAGGTACTCGCGGCCGGTGGGGACACGGGTTGCTTGGCCACTTGCATCGATGATGGCAGATACGGCTGCCAGTGACGCACATGCTCCTGCTGCTAATGGCAGGCTGTTGGCTGCAGTCAGGGAGAGTGCAGATGTAGAAACAAACGAAACGGTGAGTGTCACCTCAACAATGATGTTGTGCTTTGAAAGAGATGCATTGGTTGAGATGGCATTCATGCAAGCTGTGGACTGCACACACATTCAGCTTGACCAGCTCCTGGCAGAGACAATGATAAAGTGCTGCCTGCTTTTTTTTCTATGAGAAAATGATAAAGCCCGGTGAGCCCGAAGCCCGCCATGGGCAGCAGCACCACGCCGTTAGTCCGCATGTAAGGTGCAACCACGAGCTGCACGGCGCACTCCTGCATTATGCTTACAACCCCAGACTCGTCATGCCTAACTTGACTTAAAGCAACAGATTCTTGGCGCATATCCTCACTCTGATGCTGCATGTATGCACTCAATCAATTTCTGTGTTTGCACCATTCCATCCCAAGGGACTATCGTCTCTTGCACAGTACTATCTCTCTGCACTTCCAGGCTTTCACCTTGACTGTGTCTCACATGTCTTGTATATTGGAAAGAGCAAGGAGAGTGAGGGAGAAAGAGGGAGAGGGAAAGAGAGGGAGAGAGAGAGAGAGAGAGGGGGAGAGAGAGAGGGGGGGGGGGAGAGATAGAGAGAGAGAGAGAGAGAGAGAGCGAGAGAGAGGGAGGGAGGGAGGGAGGGAGGGAGGGAGGGAGGGAGGGAGGGAGGGAGGGAGGGAGGGAGGGAGGGAGGGAGGGAGGGAGGGAGGGAGGGAGGGAGGGAGGGAGGGAGGGAGGGATGGAGGGAGGGAGGGAGGGAGGGAGAGAGAGAGAGAGAGAGAGAGAGAGAGAGAGAGAGAGAGAGAGAGAGAGAGAGAGAGAGAGAGAGAGAAAGAGAGAAAGAGAGAAAGAGAGAGAAGGGTGGGGAGGGGGGGGAAGGAGTGGTTGGACGGGGGTAAGGGGGACGAAGCAGACGGGGTAGGCTGCACGCGGTATGAAGGCCCCACAGCGAAAGGGTTTGGGTGCGCGGAGCCGGACTACGTGACAATCCAAAGCGAGCCAGCCAGCAACCTTGAACCACTAAACGCAAGCGATCGCACCTTGCACGCCGACGACGGCGCCCGCAGCCAGCCCGCCAATAACGCCGTTCCAGATGTCCTTAGTGCCGCGCGACTCCTGCGCGATAGCGTCGGCGGCGGCGAAGGCCGTGCCGACGGCGGCGAAGGCGACGCCGTAGCGCCCCATCATGCGCCCCGTCTTCATCAGCGCCGGCATCGCCACGTTGCGCTCCACCGCCGGCACGTCGCTCCACGTGGCGGCGATGGCGCCGGCTATCGAGCCAAGCACGAAGCTGGAAGCGGTAGCAGTAACCGTCTTGAAAGCTACAGTGTCGTACTCCCCTAGCTTCCGCACGTCCTCGTCCATGGCGTTACGCGCTTCCGAACCACACACCCTCTCGCCTCGCTTTGTAAGATTTAGGGTGAAGATGGACGCGAGGTGATAAGATCTGAACGAACGAAACTGATCGCATAAAGGCCGAGGCTACTGGGTGTCTAGCAGGGTGTCCCACAACGATGGTTTTGCGGAGCGTCCTCAATCGAAGTCCATATTTTCTAGGTGCTTAGGGTGATTACACCCAGTAATAGGTGTTTTCTCCTCTGAGAGAGTAAAGGTAAAGTACTTCATATAATGCTAGGTTACGCCTGCAATTGTGTGAGAGCTAAAGATTGCCATTTGTGGTAAAACGTGTGGAATAACAAACACTCTCGTGATAACCCAGAAAACTTAGCATGAAGATATGGCTACTACGGATTTTTCTTTTCTTTGCCATAGAGAATGTAAATAACAATACGAGAACAACATACGAAAAAAAAAAAAAAAACATTGCTTACAGTTGAATTACATAGCCAAAACAAGCCATATACACAGAGTGGTTTTTTTTTTTTTTTCTACAACTGTACTACGTGTCAAAATGCCTTATATGTTGTTTAGGCTGTAGTGGGGTACACCAGGCCATCAGATTGGTTTTGGGCTAGTCTGAAAATTCAGAGTTGGTACATGACTAAACTCTGAAAATCAGAGTTTTTCCTGCATAAATACCACTGTACACTAGAAAAAATCACATTTTTCCTGTTTTTTTCTCAAAAAAAGGCTGAATTTTCAGAGTTCACTTCAAAAAAATGTCAAAACATATTGTTCTGCTTATTTCACTCTAGGTTGTGTAGGGTTCTTTCCTTAGAGGGTACAACAATCTCTCTCGATAGTCCTTGTACCCCCCCCTTACCTAATCGAACTCACTCATCTAGCTAGTAACTCTAACATGGTATTAAGAGCACAATGCTCCTTAGGACTGAAATTTTAAAAGGGCCCACCACTACTATTTCGACCTGCTGCCCGAGTCGCGCCCCTAGGAGAAACGCGAAATGCGAAAACGTGCCCTAGGCGAGACGGTTCCCTTTTCTGCCTAGACGCGATTTTCTGTTCCTAGTCACGTGCGACCCCCCTGACCGAGCCCTAGCTGCCCCGTGCGCCTCTCGCGCGGCCCGTCAGCCCCTACGCCCGGTCCCCCCCTCGTTCCTGCTGCTGCGCGCGCCACTCACGCTGCCCGCCAGCCCCTAGCACGCACCTGATGCGCGCTTCTCGTAGTGCCGCCCCGCACACACCTGTTGCGCGCCCCTGGTTTGCACGCCCACAGCCCACGCGCGCCTACTGCTACTACGCGCTGCCCAGCCCGAGCTGTCACTGCTGCTGCTACTGACGCTACTGCTGCTACAGCTAGTGCTACTCACTGCTGCTGCTACTGAAGCTAGTGCTGCTACAGCTAGTGCTACTCACTGCTGCTGGTACTGAAGCTAGTGCTGCTACAGCAAGTGCTACTCACTGCTGCTGCTACTGAAGCTACTGCTGCTACAGCTAGCGCTACTCACTGCTGCTGCTACTGACGCTACTCCTGTTACAGCTAGTGCTGCTACAGCTAGTGCTACTGCTGCTGCTGCTACTACGGCACTTGCTACAGCTGCTACTGACTGAAGCTACGGCTGCTACAGCTAGTGCTACTGCTGCAGCTCCTACTCCAGCACTTGCTACAGCTACTATTGACTGAAGCTACTCCAGCTACAGCTAGTGCTACTGCTGCAGCTCCTACTACTGCACTTGGTACAGCTGGTACTGACTGAAGCTACTTCTGCTACAGCTAGTGCTACTGCTGCAGCTCCTACTCCAGCACTTACTGCAGCTGCTCCTGACTGAAGCTACTGCTGCAGCTCCTACTACTTCACTTGGTACAGCTAGTACTACTGCTGCAGCTCCTACTACTTCACTTGCTACAGCTAGTGCTACTGCTGTAGCTCCTACTACTGCACTTGCTACAGCTAGTGCTACTGCTGCTGCTGCTGCTGCTGCTCGGTCTGCTGCTGCTGCCCGAGCCGCCCTGCTACTGCTGCTACTGGAGGGAGTACTGCTGGGAGTGGTGGAGGTGCGGCCTCCCACCCCCACCGAACCGCCCTGCTGCTGTTACTACTGCTGCTGCTGCTACTTGTGCTACTGGGAGTGGAGGAGGTGCTGCTGGGAGTGTAGGAGGTGCTGCTGGCGCTGTAGGAGCTGGAGGTGCTGGACCTACTCCTGACAGTCACTGTCTGTCATGGCCACTTCCGCGGCAGTCGCTGCGGCCAGGGGTGGACAGCAGCGGGCACTGCTTCTCCCGGACGACCCCACCCCTCAGCAGCTTCGTGAGTGGGTTATTCAGCGAGGTCGTCCTGGTGGTGGAGGTTATCGTTATGTTAAGACCGCTGCTCTTGGTGTTAGTGAGTCTGCTGCCACTCCAGGTGTTAGTCAGTCTGCTGCCACTCCAGGTGTTAGTGAGTCTGCTGCCACTCCAGGTGCTAGTGAGTCTGCTGCAGCTCTAGGTGCCCGTGAGTCTACCGACGCTCTAGTTGCTAGTGCGTCTACTACCACAGGTCCTGCCTCAGCTGAGGTCTTGCACACGTTCACGCTTGACTCCGACGCGTCACGTTGCTTCTTCCGTGATTGCACCACAGTCACACCACTCACAGCACCTGTCCCAGTCTCACTGGCTGACCCCTCTGGGGGCCCAGTGGTTGCGAGAGCCTCCACGGTCCTCCCTTGTCCAGCAGTCCCCTCCGGATCTTTGTCAGGTCTCCACCTCCCCACGTTCTCGACGAACTTGGTGAGCAACGCTGCCATTCAGGATGTCTGGGTTGATACCTTTATTCCTGGAGGGCAGCGTGTGGCGATCTGTACGTGCTCCCGGACTGGCCGTCACCTGGCTACGTTCACTCGACAGCCTGGGTCTAGTCTGTACACACTGACCACTGCATCTGCACAGGTGGCTGAGTCAGGTCAGGTAGCTACGTCGAGTCGAGCATCTGCGTCAGGGCAGTTAGCTGCGTCTTGATAGTGCCGAGTACTCACGCACGAGACTCAGCGCTGGCACCACCGTCTTGGTCACCCCTCCCTGCAGCGTCTGCGCCGCATGCACTCCCGGCTCCTGGTCACTGACCTCCCTGAGACCCTGCCCCCCCTCCCGCGCTCACTTGCGCCGCCGTGCCTTCCTTGCGTCGAGGGGCGGCAGCGCGCCGCTCCTCACTCCTCCGAGTTTCCTCCGACCACTGCTCCTCTGCAGACTCTCCACATGGACGTGTGGGGCCCGGCCCCCGTCGGTGGAACGGACCAGGAGCGCTACTTCCTGCTGGTGGTTGACGACTACACACGCTACACCACAGTCTTCCCGTTGCGGCGCAAGGCGGATTTCAATGGTGTCTTGATCCGCTGGATCCGTGCTACTCGTCTCCAGCTGCACGAGCGCTTTCAGCAGGACTTCCCAGTCCTGCGTCTGCACTCTGACAGGGGTGGTGAGTTCTCCTCTAGCGTCCTTGAGACGTTCTGCCAGGATGAGGGCATCCGCTAGTCGTTCACGCTTCCGGCCTCTCCGCAGCAAAATGGGATCGCTGAGCGTCGCATTGGCCTGATCATGGAGGTTGCTCGTACCTCCATGATCCATGCGGCTGCTCCCCATTTCCTGTGGCCGTTTGCGGTCCGATACGCCGCGCATCAGCTCAACCTCTGGCCCCGTGTCTCTGCTCCAGAGACCTCGCCCACACTCCGTTGGACGGGACAGCCTGGTGATGCGTCGTCGTTTCGGGTCTGGGGCGCGCTCTCCCTTGTTCGCGATACCAAAGCGAGCAAGCTCTCCCCTCGCACTCTCCGCTGTGTCTTCCTGGGCTTCCCCACCGACGCTCCACCCTGGCAGTTCTACCACCCTGCCTCGCGTCGTGTTCTGTCCTCTCAGGATGTCACCTTTGACGAGTCGGTCTGTTACTACCGACTTCACCCGCACGCGTCCCACCCGGTCCCTCTCGCACCTCTCTTCCTGGTACCAGTCCCCCCCCCGGTAGACCCCCTTCCCCCACAGGGTCCTGCTCCCTCAGGTGTGTCCCAGGTAGACCCACCCCCCTTGGATGAGCCAGTTGAGATCTCTTCTGACTCCTCTGACTCACCTGAGGGGGGTGATGCCGTCGCCGACGACACGGCGACCACTCGCCGCACTCCTCGCTTGGAGACCCCCCCGGGTTTCCCGCCACGGCCGTCTTCGCCGCCTCTGCAGCCTGCTGCTGTGGACACTGGAGCAGAGACTGAGGGTACTGAGCCTGGGGGTGCTGGGACTGAGGGTACTGAGCCTGGGGGTGTTGGGACTGAGGGTACTGAGCCTGGGGGTGCTGGGACTGAGGGTACTGGGCCTGAGGGTGCTGCGACTGAGGGTACTGAGCCTGCGAGTGCTGAGACCGAGGGTGCTGCCTCTGGGGGTGCTTCGAGTTCGGGTGCTGACTCTGGGGGTGCTGCGAGTCCTTCTGGTGTTGGTGTCGTCGGAGCTCCTACCGGAGGACCTGGAGCTACTGGTGGTGGAGGTACTGGAGGTACTGCTGGTGCTGGAGGTCCTGGAGGTGCTGCTGGTGCTGGAGGTCCTGGAGGTGCTGGAGGTACTGGAGGTGCTGCTGGTGCTGGAGGTCGGGGAGCTGCAGGTGCTGCTGGTCCTGGTGGAGCTGCTGGTGCTGGAGGTACTGGAGGTGCTGCTGGTGCTGGAGGTCGTGGAGCTGCTGGTGCTGGAGGTACTGGAGGTACTGCTGGTGCTGGAGGTCGTGGAGCTGCTGGAGCTGCTGGTGCTGGAGGCGCCGAAGCTGCTGGGGCTGGAGGTGCTGGAGGTCCTGGTGGAGCTACTGGTGCTCTTCGCCACCTTCTCAGTCTTCAGCCAGGTGCTACTGGCTTCCCTGTGGCAGGTACTACTCCTCCGTTGCTGTGTCCACCGGCGGACCAGTCACAGCCGCCGCTGCTACCACACTCCCCACTGCCTGCTCCTGCTCCTTACACTGTGGTGTCAGAGTCCCTGACTGAGCGTCGAGAGCCTGAGA